GGGGAGCCTAGAGCATCAGCACCCAACATGGCACGTGATGTGGAGCCCTCCATCCCACTGGCTTTCAGGAAGACGCAGCACCGTCACCATCACCTCCCAGTTACTATGCCACAAATCTCCTTTCACAATAACCCTGAGACAGCAGCTCTCCTGACCTCACATCATTTCTGGCATTCACTATCCGGAAATCTCTCATCCATTGCTTGGCTCCTTTTCTGGCTCCCCTGCATCTCCTGCATTCAGGTCCATGCCTGCATTTCTGAGTGCAAACCCCACAGCCACTGGATGGGTACTAGTCTTGAAAGGGAAGTCTCCTGGCTTTCATAGGGTCATAGAAAATGAGGGTTGAAGGGACCTCGGGAGGTCACAACTAGTTCAACCCCCGTTCGGAGCAGGACCAGCCCCAACTACATCATCCCAGCCAAGGCTTTGTCTACCCGGGTCTTCAAAACCTCCAAGGATGGAGACTGCATCACCTCTCTGGGTAACCTGTTTCAGTGCTTCACCACCCTCCTAGTGAGAGGGTTTTTCCTAATATTCAACCTCAACTTCCCTTGCTGCAGCTTGAGCCCATTGCCCCTTCTGTCATCTGCCCCCACTGAGACCCGTCCAGCTCCATCCTCTTTGCAGCCCCCCTGCAGGGAGGTGAAGGCTGCTGTTCAATCCCCCTCTGTCTTCTCTTCTGCAGACTCAATCAGTCCAGCTCCCTCAGCCTCTCCTCACCAGTCCTGTCTCCCAGCCCCACAACCATTTTCATTGCCCTCCACTGGACTCTCTCCAACGTGTCCACATCCTTTCTGTAGTGGGGGGCCCACAGCTGGACACAGGACTCCAGATGTGGCCTCCCCAGTGCTGAATAAAGGGGAAAAATCATTTCCCTCGACCTACTGGCAACGCTTCTCCCAACGCAGCCCAGGATGCCGGTTGTCTTATTGGCACCAAGGGCACACTGCTGGCTCCTGTCCAGCTTCTTGTCCCCTGTCCCCCCCAGGTCCTTTACTAAAGAGCTGCTGCTTTGCTGGTGGTCATGCCTCCTTTCCCCACCTGCTAGCACTGCTATGGAAAAAGGGCTCAGGGGCTCTGAGACTCACTGTGCCCGGCTGTGCAGGCACATTCGAGGAAAGGCTGCCTACCTGGGAAAAGGGACTCAGCTGCTGTTGCAGAGCGCACAGATCCTTCTGCAATAAGGCAGAGTCAGCCCAGAGCTGTGTCTACATGGAAAGCTCTGGGCACTTGTTCCAGAAGAGCTGCTCCCAGTGTAGACAAGGACTAAGAGACTCTCCCTTCCCTGATCCACATTTTGCTAAGGCTCGGTGCAGCAGTAGCAAATGCAGGATGCTTCTAAGCCCTTGCTGAGATCTCTTTGATGTCCATGGGTCTTAAGCACGACCTCAAGTGCTTTCCTGAATCTGGGCCAAGCGCTAGGAATAGGGAGGATTTAACATCACCAGGGACAAGTGGTGACACTGCCTTACTTGGTGCAGTGTGAGGCGGCCAGCTTGGCAAAAGAGGATGCTTAAATATCATAAGGAAGCAACCAGACTAAGCTCCGTGTCAGCCACGTCTACAGGGCATGGGGACAGATGGGGAAAGGGCTCTGATCCACATTCAGAGGTGTGAGTTTTAGCTTTGCTCTCGGTTCTTCCTGCAGGCTGCTCCCAGGCGCCTCAGCTGTGCACGGGCATCTGGACATTAGACTGGGACCCAGAGAGGACGTGCCGTGATGCTGGATACCTCGCTCCCATGGGGGTTGCACCCGCGGTCCCTAGGGTGCCTTAACCACCTGGGCTGACGAGCTGCCTGGGCTCAGGCTGGACTTGGACAGTGCATCCACTCCTGGCCCTAGCCCAGCCATTGAATTGTCAGGGGCTGGCTCCCATGCCAGAGACCCCTGGCTTTCACAATGAATTGCAGGGTCAAGACCCCGAGGGGTGGAGGAGTCTCCATCCTTGGGGGTTTTTAAGGCCTGGGTAGATGAAGCCTTGGCTGGGATGATGGAGTTGGGGCTGGTCCTGCTTTGAGCAGGGGGTTGCACTAGATGTGACCTCCTGAGGACTCTTCCAACCTGAATTTTCTATGACTCTAAGACCTGAAGTTGTGATTTCCAAACCCAGATCCGGGAGCTGGCTTTACACTCCGCAGTGAAATGAAGGGGCATCGTGTGTCGATACTCAGTCCAGCTTTGCCTTTTCCTTGGGGTGAGAACGGTTTCTTCTTGGTTGGCGTATTAAGCGCTGTATTTATTACAGATAATAAGTGCCCTTGTCTCTCACCACGGGGGCTATAAACTCAAGATTTATTCACCTGAGCTGTATTAAACCTGGCTTTCAGCCGTGTACATCTTTTGGCATCACATCCTCCTGAGTTTCACTTTGGTCCTATTCACCCTCTTTCTAGAGGAGGCGCTTTCCGTCTCTCTCGATCTGGGGCACCTTCCTTGCTCATTATCGCTTCCTTAGGAGAGACAAGTTCTTCTTAACACTCCTTTTTATAAATGCCATTTGCAATGAGAAATGCACTTAGCGCTCCTGGAGGAGCTATTCTTCACTTCAGAGGAGTACGTCTGCAGGTGAGATTTGCATATACGTTCCTGACCGTCTCAGAAAGGATTAGGCGTTTGCTCTGAATTCAGCGACAGCGCTTCTTTACACGTGTACAGACTAACTGGCTAACATTGCTCTAGATCTCAGTGGTGACGACAAAGATGAAGAGAGGGAAATGACTGGCTCCCATCATGCCACTGGCTCCTGTCTATCCCGACGCAGGGCTTTCTTCTGCATTACAGAGGGTCACACAGAAGGGGCACAGATGCCTTTACTGGGGCAGAGATGATGTTGTGCGGACAATCTTAGACGGTGATCCAAAAATCTGCAAATTCAATAGAAAGCTTGCTGCCGGGTTCAGTGGGTTTGAGGCTACACCTTAAAGTCTGCATTTCCTTCCAAAAGTCCTCTGCGATCAGCAGAAGCTGGAGACATGAAACAACAAAAGAAGCTCTCATCGCTTCACACGTCCACTTGGCTGCTCTCCTCGTTTTTTCCATCCAGGTCATCCAGCTTGGACCGCCGTAATTATTCCAACTAAGCGAATCCGAATAGTTTACATGTCATCGTCCAAATGGCCAGATGGACGCTTCTGGGCATTTTGCAGCAAGCATGTCATTCCCTGGCTGAGACGCTGCGAGCAAATTTATACAGCCGAGGTTGAAATCCCGGTGAAAAATCCAGGCTTCTCATGAAAACCCAGCCGCATAAGGGCTGTGATGCCAAAAACCATCAAGTGTGAATAAAAAGGCATGTTTGTGGAATAGAGTATGGGGGCTGTGGATGTCAGGGGCTGGGAGAGGGAATAATGCCTGGAGTTGTGGGGGCTTCCAAGAAATTCTCCCATAAAGCTTATAGCTTTTTCTCAAGTTTTGGAGGGGGGGTGTGGATGTTTGTATATGTATATGTATATATGTCCAGGATCTTTGTACTTGGAGAAGATCCAGGAAAAGCAGAATAAAACTAACCAAATAGCAGTGAGAGCTGTTAGCAGAGGAAAGCGTGGCAGCATAATGAGGGAATTAAAGCAGCCGCCACAGAAACAGGAACCAAGAATACAAATGTTTTGTATTTGTATTATTGTTTCCAAAGCAAAAATCTGCATGATAGACAGGGCCAGGCTCTGAAACTCAGCTTTAGAGCTGCTATTTGACTGGAGGCTCATGACAAATTCATTTGTACCGACAATCTACCCCGGGGTCAAATGTGCCTGTCTACCAGGGGGAGCAGAGAATGGGAATGATTACCTTTCCCTGCCTAGAAACTAAGCAGGCTTGATGCGTTGATGAAGGAGAGACCTTGGTGTTGGGACACTTGCCATCTTGCTGCGGGTGCTCTGAAGCACCAGCGCTGCATTTGTCTTAGTCTGGGGGTAGGAAACCCTGATGCTGCTGGAGATGCGAACTATCAAAGGAGAAACTGAAACTTTGCTCCGCTTGTGGCTGTTATAGCGCCCAGAAAACTTTCAGCTTGAGGAGGGAGGGAATTAATCATAATGCCCTACTCTCCTGTTTCAGTAACGTCAGGAGATGGCCTTGAATCTTAGGTACAAACTTCAGTAGCAGATCCTTGTCTCTATACTGAATTGCAGGGGTGTGGGCTGTAGCCGTGTTGGCCGAAGGACATAGGCAGACAAGGGTCTTTGGGTAAATCTGATATTTTTTATTAAGCCTATTCAAATAGTTGGAAAAATTCTTCTTTGCAAGCTTTCAGGTGTAAATATCCATTGTCAGGCTGAAGAAGCAGATATAAAAGGTATCAGATTTACCCGAAGACACTTGTCTGCCTACTGAATTGAAGAACATTTTTGGGTTGGAAAGCCACCAAACTTTGCAAAAACCCACGTGCCGATCCAGACTTGGTAGGTCAAGCCCAGGGCTTGTCACTTCATTTTGTATGAAGAGATCCCCCCAAACTGGGACGCTTCCCAAATGGCGAGGCAGAGCTGGGCAGCTTCAGTTAGCAGGCACGTGGGAAGGCCCTTCCCCGGTGAAGGGTGTATTTACCCGTGGTCCTTGCATCTCGCGTGACATCCTGATTGCACTGCCGCTCCAAGTGGCTACGACGCCGGCACGGTTCCAAGCAAACCTTCTCCATGAACATCACGGCGGGGGGGGATCTGGCTCTTTGACCTAAGTTTGCAAAGGCATATAGGCTCCCGACTTCCCTTGATGTCCACAGCAGGCAAGCTCCTTAATACGGTGCCAGGGGCTTTTGAGAATCTGGGTCTTGTCACACCGCTTTGCTGAGTTCAGTTCAAGGCACGGCCTTTCCTGCTTTCCTCTAACCATCAGCTGATACACACCAGCTGAGCAAAAGCACCTCCATGCCCAATGCACGAAAAGAAAAGTTGCCTGCATCGCGTTGTAGCTACACACAGCCCTCTCATCTGCCTCCTTTCAGCCTCTTAGTTTAACCCACAATAGCCTGGGTTTACATTTAGGTTAAGCGGCTTACCTTCACATAGTCATATTCGCAGAGGTAGGATGATTCCAGGTCAAAATGCATGAAGTACAGTTTGATCCTAAATCCGTCCGGCACTGAAATATTCCAAGTCACTTCAGAGTCACTGGGGTAGGAATCTGGGAAGTTAGGGGATTGGATCTCCCCAAACATATCCGTCAGATCGACCGCATCTGTGCTGCAGAGCAGCAAGGCACAGAGGGACCAGGCCAGAAGGTACCTGCAAAAGACACACGGAGATCAAACCTCCCTCCTGAAACCCATCGAGGACATCATCTGCTTTCCCCGCGAGATCAAAGGCGGTCCTCTGTTAAGGAGGGAAGGCCTAGGTGCAAAATTCGGGTCTGAAGTAGGTCTCAGATACCCCGAGGTTTGGAGGGATCGGGGCCAGGGCTGGCTTTGCCCCATTTTAAAGGGGGGTCAACTTTGCAAAGGGCATGGTGGTTTGGACTGAAAAAAAAAGGATTGGCTCACTCAGAGGGGGTTTCTTCTCAGGCAGGTGGCAATGACTCCATCATGGGATACAGTCAGATCCCGAAGCACATGGCCCACTCATTAATGCCATTAGGTTTTGATTTCCTCCAGATGATGGAGCCTTCCCCAACACAGCACCATCCGGCATCGGGCTGGTGGCTCGGACCCAGGGCTGCTACGGGAGCAGCGAGGAGTCCAGTCCCTTACAGAATAGGTACCAGACACATTGCAGCATAGACAAATATTTCATATTGCAACACAACATTTTTGCTCCATGCCCTGAGGAACCTCTAGCCACGGGCAGCACCTCCTCTTAATCCATGCCGCTTTGATGGAAACATCTTCATTTAATAGCAGAATAAGCAGAAGGCAATCCAGGACAATAAAGAGACTTCCTGAATAGGCTTTCTGCAAGCATCCTACAGCTCTCCCAGCCATGCATTGTTATTTGTTGCTGCTGCTGACCCTCATCTCACCCAACCTGGACCGATGAGTCAGATTTCTCTCTGCATAGAGGCACTACAAGGGACATGTTGTATCTGCTGTGCAGCAGGAGTCTGTGGTTCATTACTAGTCATTTGCCTCTCTCCATTTGTGTGGGGTTTTTTTTTTCTTTCTTCCCATCATACCCATTTTATGGATGGGCAGACTGAGGCGCATAAAGGAGTTGGGGGCTCAGACCCTGAATGGCACGCAGGTGCCTAACTCCCAATGGAGTTGCCCTGAATTAGAAGACAGTTAGTGTCTCTGATGGGAATAGCAACCCCAGTGACCCGGTTCCCCACCTCATGGGATACAACGTCAAATGGGATCAAAGTCTTTCTAAACCATGAATCAATGCAATCAGGAAACGCGCATGGCCTGGCAGAGTCTGCTCCTGACCCCGGATCCTGCTGGTAGTGGATGGGAACCAGGAAGGCAAAATGAACAAGGCCGAGGCTGTTTTATTCCATTCTCCAAGCTGATAAAGTGCCGGATGGATGCAGAAAGTCAGACCCCGACTCTGTTTCCTGAACCCTGTCTGGAGGCCTTTTCCCTGTACAGGTCTGTGCACTTGCCATTAAAGGCCATAGAGTGACCCCCACGTGCATGCATAAATGTTTGCAAAATAGGCGCGCGGTGAGGAAATTGAAACTCTCTCTGGGGATTATTTGCAACCTGTCCGTGTTGTGTTCACAGCCGGGCACTAGGTTTCCAGGAGGCTGATCCCGGGACCAGACACGCTTTCCTCGGCTTTCGGCTACAAGCAGAGAAAGTTAATGAGAGCAACGGAATTTGGATCGATTTGCTCTCGGCTCAAGTGAAGCTTAGCATGCAATTTTCTGATGGCTTCTCTGAAACCACAGAAATGTGCAAAGGGAAAGTCTGTCTCTCTTCTGGTCGGAGGACACGCACGGGGGTGGGGAGTGGGACCGTGTCCTCGGTGGGGTAAAGGGGTGTTGCTTTATTGGCTTGGATGGAGCTCCTGATGACCTGGCCCATTCATGCCTTTGCTTTGCTTTCTGTGTTATGGAGGAGGAAGAGCAGACTGAACTTCTCTGCCATGCCAGGGAAGTCTTACCCGAAGGCACGAGTGACCAGCGACTTCAGCAACATGCGATATGTAAAGCCTCCCTTTATGCTCCTCCTGTCCTGCATAGTGAGCGCTGTGCTAATAAATCACAAACGGCAGCAGTCTTCCTCTCTTCCCTTGCCAGGCAGCTAACCTGGCAAGTGGTCTCAGGGGTCTCTGGCACATATTCCCCGCTCCAGCGAGGAGTCAAGTCATGCAATGCAAACAGCAGTCCCCCAAGTGAAGTGTCGGCTGGAGACACAACGCCCACCCCGGATCCCCGTGCCCATTTCCCAGCTGGGTACTCACCTCATCTCGCTCCCGTGGGTCTCTCCCGATGTGTTTGAAAGGAGAGGGGTGGGGAAGGGGGGGATTTTGGGGAGGAAGGCTGCCTGGTTCCCAACGGTCCGCGCTCCGTGCCTTATCTTTGTTCGGAGATTTGTGAGTGTGCGAGTGTGTCTCTGGAGTTGTCTGGCATTCTCCATGCAGGTCACGCCTTCCCCTGCCTGCAACAGTCTCCCCCCACCCCCCCACCAAATCACTCACACACACTCACACGTACGCATGCACACACACACACACACATACACGCACGCACACACACACACACACACACACACACACACACACGCAAACCTGCCTAGTGAAACTATCCTCCCCTCCGCCAGCCTCTTCCAGCAATCTTTCCTCTCGCTCCGCAGGGCTGTCTCAGACACTTCCAACAAAAGCCACAGCCGGCGAGGTTTTTGTCTCTCTAAACCTCCCAAGCCCTGTGTGTGTGTGTGTGTGTGTGTGTGTGTGTGCGCGCGCGTGTGTGTGTGTTGTGTCCTCATTTTTTTTTCCTTTTCAGGCTGCGGTGCCAGATGGCTAAAATGTGCTTCTCGGCAGGGCACGCTGCAGAAACACCAGCAAAACACCAGGCTGGGAGGTGTGAAACGAAGCTGTGCAAAATAACTTGGGCCCAGCCTCGGGGACTCAGACCTGGGGCGGGGACCAGGTTTCGGCCTTGCCACCGCACGGGTTTGGGGCTCGAGCCTGGGGGCAGAAGGAGATGCTGATCGCTCTGTTTTGGGCTCTGGCCCACTCTTCACTCTCCCCAGTTCTGGATTTAACATCTGGTCAATTCTGACCCATCTCATGAAGAAAGAGGGAAACCCTTGAAATGTTTCCCCCTTTCCGTTTGTCCCTCCCCGCTGCCCCCAAGCCGGGAGCTAGCACTTCTCTGGGCTGGGAGTAAGAGCATCGCCGGGGTGGTCCTCACTCCTTCTAGATAAGATACCTCTGAAGTTTAGTACTTGAGTACCTGGTTCAGGTAACCCATCGGGGGCTGGACTTGATGATCTCACGAGGTCCCTTCCAGCCCCCAACTTCTGTGAATTTGTGACCCCCGGCTGACGCCCCCAAGCAGCCAGGGCTACCAATGCAGCCCCTGAAAGACCAGGCAGACAAGAGATGTGAGGGGGGCAGTGAAAGCAGGGTGCTTTGGCATCACTTATTCCAAGGGAAGCAGGATAGGAGCTCAGGGCACTGTGATGAAAGGGATACTCTTGATTTCAGACACGTGTTTCCCCCGTGCAGGCACCGGGGTCGGTGCTATTCCAGAGTCACATCTAGTCCGACCCCTGCTTGAGGCAGCATCAGCCCGGTGCCAACCACCACAAACCCATCATCTCGCCTCTTAGTAAAGCCACCGTCGACCCCGCCGTCACACCTGAACCTGAACAGGTGAAGCAGGGTGGCCGCGGCAGCCACAGTCTTCTGTAAAAGGTTGCTAATATACACCCAGGGAGGGGCCGTGCCCCTGCTACAGAGAAAAGCAACCCCCTCCCAGTCCACACCAGTCTGACCAAGGGGTAAAAGTCCTTCCTGACCCCAAATGTGGCATTGGTCTGACCCTGAGTGGAGGGGCAAGACCCTCTAGCCAGGACCCTCCGGCTTTGGTCCCAGCAGGAGCATTGGCACGTCCCCAGCCTGGGGAAGGGTTCACCCCCCTGCCCCGACACATGTAGAAACAGGATTGGGAACTGGGCCTCACATGCTGCCAGTCCCCCCACACTCCGGTCTCTGTTTCCATGCGGGTCGCTTCCCCGGCCACAGGGAACAACGTGGCATTTCAATAAAATTGGGGAATGGGATTGTAGAAGCCACACAGCAAAGTCCCTCCACGGGGGCTCACAGTGCAGGGGCCGGGGGTGGATGGCAGGGCAGGGCGCTGCCCCCTGCTACTAATCCTGTTGAAAAGTACCTTTATTTAGGCAAATCAACCCGCCCGCGGCCCCACAGGCCCCAGGCAGGTTTCAGAGCCTAATTAATATTCCAGACAGGGCGCCCGATGGGATGGTGCGGCTGTGCCAGCGGGCAGCTCGCTCCAAGTCCTGCATAAATTACAACCTATTTTGCTTGCTCTGTCGCTTTTATTCCCACAACAACAGCGCCCCGGAGCTGCTCCTCTCGCTGGGAGCTGCTTTCATGCCGAAGCGACTGCTCCCTCGTCCTGGACGGGATGGGATGAGATGCCTGGGGGGCTTTTCCATCCCCGCTCAGGGCTGGGACACCCCCAGCTGCCCACGATGGGCACATCCAAGCTGTCCCAGCCGTGGGACCTTTCACCGGGGACCCCAGAGCACTGGTCCCATGCCTCAGCTAGCATGAAGCAATGAAGCGCCACTGACTTCCACCATATGCCATCTTGGCATCATTGGTTCATCTTGGAGTCAGGGGAGTAATATTTCTAGAGAACCAGGTATGGCCAAGAGCTGCCAGGGGGGTTGTCCCAGAGGGGCCGGGACTTCCCAGACTAAATTTCCTCCCCTGGCTTCTTCCCCCACGAGGGTCTGGTCTTTGAGACGGACCTACTAGGAAGCCAGACCCTCCCAGGGGAGGAAGCCAGGGGAGTGCATGCCAAGGCTTTGTTGGTCCATGAGATCTATGGATCCCCTGTGGATCTTTGGGGATCTTCTGGGCTCAGCAGGGGACTCCTTTGACTTCTGCTGACCCTGGGATGCCTTGAGCTGGGTCGGGGGGTTCGTAGCACCAAGAGGGAATAGTGGCAAGTCTTTGCAGAGCCCCCTGCCCAGATGCTTGGGGTGGAGGTAGGGTACTCATCAAAGGAGGATGGAGGGAGCCGGCAACAACCCTCACAGCTCCAGGACATGGTTTACATCAGACCTCTCTCCGGGCTGGGAACAGATCGCTGCAGTCCTGCCTTCCTCTCCAGTGCTACAACCACTATCCTCTCCTCCTTGTCCCCAGAGGGGTGGAGATCCCGGGAGTCCGGCCTATGCGCCGACCCCCATTCCTCCAGACCATACGTATGCCAGGACATGCACACGAGCACCCTGAAACTGCAAAGTGCTTGCAAAGGGCTTTTTTGGACGGCCTGCGGTCCATAGTGGGTCTATAGTGCTGGGACACCTACCCATCACCAGCCAGTCCCTTCCCCTCTGGGCTTGGCTTACTCTGGGCAGCCTCGGCATGCTGGTGGGATCCTGGCTGCTCTGCCCCCGAAGTTGACCCTCGCGTACAGACAAAATCAGTACAGGCCCTTATCGGACGTGGCAGCAGTCACTTAGCCGGTAACCCTCAGCTCGTCAGCATGGGAGAGAAGCTGTAGGAGCAGATGAGTCCTGGGTCCGGACACACAGCACATTTATAGCGGGGTCATTTCTATCAGTGATGTGCGTGCACCGATGTGCGTGACACGGGGTCGAGCACGGGCAGGCGAGCGGCTATTGCAATGCACATGCCATGGGGGTATTACAGCCTAGGTTGGAGGGGAGGGGAAGGCGGTAATAGCCCCTTTGCCTGTAGCCCATGCTACGGCAGGGTGGAAGCGGACACACAACGCTTGCAATTTCACTCTTGATGATTCCCAGAGTCCCTCTACAGGGGCTATCCCGGGGTAATAACTGGAGAAGGTGGATCGGGGGCTCCTGTGTTAGCAGGTTCTTGGAAACGTGGCTAACAAGGGCAGGCGGGAAGCGCTGGGGTGGTTGAATCTGGAGAAGAGAAGTCTGACAACATCTGCAGGGTGGTTATATGGAGGAGGGAGCGATACTGTTGGGGACACAACAAGAAGTCACCGATGCCAGGAACTCAGCCAGATGCCAGAAGGGACCTCAGCTGTGGGGCGGGGTAGATGTACAGGAAGGCGGGGACAGCATCCAGATCCAACAGCACAGAAGGTCACCCAATGGATAATATGAATAATAATTCTGTGAATAATATCCCAAAATTGGCTGGCACCTCTTGGTACAGAGCCGATGCCCTGCCATGCGTGGGCCCAGGTGGAGAAGCCTCGTGCTCCCAAGGGACACAGGCCCGGGGAGGAAGTTTTGGATGAATTTTCGGTCCCGGCAGCCACGGAGCCTCTGCTGCAGACTGGCTTGGTCGTGGTGCCCTCTGCTGATGCACGGGAAAATGCGCAGGCCAGGGGATAGCAGGGAACCTGCTGGCAGCATTTCGGGTCTTGAGGAAGTTTGGGCGCCCCCCCGCACCCATGATTAATAGCAATGGATGCCCCTTTCCTCCAAGAACGTATCCAACCCTTGGTGAATCTGGCTGAACTGTCAGCTCCCACCCCGTCTGGTGGCTACAAGTCTCACATTTAATTTGCAGATGATTTCCAATGAATTTGGGAAGGGCTTTGTGCCACCAAAGCGGCAAAGAAAAAGGCCAGGAGGTCCCAGCTGGACACCTCTGTGTCCCCACTGTTGCTCCAGCCTCTACTTCCACCCACGGCAGGGGCTGTTGTGCCACTGGGATGCTGCCGGGGGCTGGGACCCCAGGAGGGCACGGGCCGTCTGGGCCGGGCCGCTGGTGCAGCACAGGAGTGTGCGTTCCCTAACGGGTCTTGAAGCAGGTGGCCAGTGGGTCCAGTCCCACGCTGAGCAGCTTTGCCTCTGAGCAGCTCCCCCAGGCTCATCACCCTCAAGGGAAACCAGGCACTGTTTGAGCAGCCCATGCCAGGCTTGAAGTACTCCGCCCCTCAGTTTTCCCCGTCTGTAAAATGGGGGCAGCACCTACAGTGGGGAGCGCTCTGACTGTGCCCCCAGATGCTGCTGTAACGAGACAGGAGCACGGTGGTGCCCCCACCTCTGTGCACAGGCCTCTCCATGCTTTACAGATCGCTCCCTCCTCCTCCCAGCATTTAGGCCCAGACTAGCCACCCCTCATCATGTCAGGGGAGGGGGCATTTGCCACCCAGGAAACCCCCTTCATGTTGTCAGCTCCTCCAGGGGTTGCATGCAGGTGGGGGCAGTGGGGGGCTGTGCCAGGCTTTCCCCTCCTTTTGAGTTTGTTTTCCTTGCTGGGGCCTGCCCTGAAAGGCAAGTTCCTGTTACTGTGGAAGAGACCCCTCCTGCCCCCGCGCCCATGCAGCTGGCCTGTCGTGTGGTGGCAGTGCCGGGTTTTGCCACGAGATGGCACTTTCGCTCCTCTTTAGTGCAGATGTGGAGCCAGTTCCTCTCCCTACCCCTAGCCCGGGAAAGCCTGAAGGTGCTGTGACCTGTGATGATTAATTACCCCCTGTTTAAT